AATTCCTCGATGTAGTTCTTCTGATCGAGAACCGTGGTCATGTTGTCGTTTTCAAGCTCGTCGTCCGGCGATTCCCCGGGTATGTGATTGCTGTTTCGCAGATACAACGAGAAATCGATCACCCCTTGTTGACAATCGAGGTCCTCTTCCTGTTACGACAGTTTCCACAGTTTTCGATTTTAACCTGGTTTGGCAAACTTTTCACTCCGCCGCGTGTGGAGAAACACACACACACACACACACACACACACACGTGCGCGCGCGTAACTGACCTTTACGCAGAAGTTGCAGTCGATGACGTTCAAGCCCACCAACAAGCCCATTATAACGATTGCTTCCTCGCTCATCATCAGAGCGTCCGGCTCGAAATACTCGGACAATATATCCTCCTTGTGATCGATTAAAACTTTCAAGTAGTCTGCCAGCTTTTTCTGCATTAGCGCCATACGCAGCCATGCTCGCGCTCTACCCATCGCGGTCCTGAAAAGGTCATCCCGGTCGACAGACCGTGTATCAAGCGGATATCGCCAAAGACGTGATCTGATAAAGCTGAGTTAATTTCTCTTGAGATAGTAGATTTGTCGAGGCCTCTTGTGTAGAGAATGGCAAAGATATTTTTAATTTACACTTAATTTGGATTGATTTTCGTCGAAGTAAACCAATTAAATTGATAAATTTTCTTCGATTGGCGACGAAGAGTTGACAATTTATTTTAATAAGGAATATTCTACTGAAATGCGACACAACTTTTGTCTTGTGTTTTATGTTAGATCTCGGCACTTGAAAATTTCTGTATCGAAAGTTATAATAACAAAGATTCTATGATTCTGTGCAATTCGAATCACGTGCAAAAAACAAATGGATAAAAACGGGAACAGAGTTATATACCTAACAGTGGGCAGATCACGAATACTAGACGTAATGTCCTGTGCTTCTGGACAATATTTTTCAACGAGCTGAAGTATATCCCAAAGCTCCTTCTTGGGTCCAAGTAGACCCTGAAATCGAAGGCAATTAGCGCTTTTCCCTTCATTTGCAAGTTCAGTGTTCGGTTATCGCGAAGGTGTTGTTTACCTTCTTCGGTCGCAAACCGTGTCTAAGCACATGTTCGAGAACGATGAAAAAGTGTTGCAACGGCATATGATCGGAGTCGAGCATTCGACCATACTTCAGTGAGGTTTCGATCAGCTCCTTCACGATTAATTTCGAAATATTCACGAGATTACTCCTCTCGATGATGACCGGATCACGTGCTGTAAAAACAACAGTTTCTCGTTCCAGTTGGGATTAGGAGAAAAAGACAGTTGCCCTATCGGTGTTCAGTCGCAGGTTTCGTTTCGTATTCTCGTATTGTCGAAGAAGTCAACAAATAAATATGAAGTTCTTCGCGGAAGCGTGATGATGATGGTATGAATGCGAGTAACGGCATAAGCGCAACGTAAATTTATTAACAAACAAAATCTCACGCTATAAATAAATTATTTTCCGCCGTGGACAGAAGATTCAAATGATACGCGATTCCGAGAAATGTGAAGGGGCAGAAGATAGAAAAGGTTGTTTAGATCAAAAAATTTCCAAGGAAACGAATTCTTTTGCTTTTTCGAAATTCACAGATCTCGCGGTAAGATCCAGAAAGAAATATAAGATATAAAAATTACAGTTTGTTATTTCTAAAAATCTAGAAAAAGAGAAACAATTCTTGATACTTTATTATAATTTCCATCGGATTCGTCCATATTAAAATTTTCAGGTAAACTAAAACTTTTAAATGTGTCATTTCAATTCACTCGATCGTACGCAGCAAAGACGACATTGACTAGAATAAAAGAGTACAATTCCGAATTTTCCCATCTACTCTTCGTTCTGAATTTAACGCGGATTCACAGAATTGTTCAGTTTGTTAGTTTCTCGAATCCCAAATTTCCTTCTTATCCTTCACTCACGGAAGAACGACGACACTTATCAATCTATTTTTTTTTCTCACCAACACAGAAGCTCTCAGCAACTGAAGTAATTAAACAAGCCAGAATAAATTTCCTCGAACGATGAACTAATTCCTAACGAAAAGAAAAGGGAAAAAAAAAAAGAACAACGAAAGCTTGGAAACTTGAACTCGTCCAACTAAATCGTCAATACGATGCAAGGTAGTACAATGAGTCTGAATTCGAATTGGTGCAAGAATTTCCAACGCGTTCGTCGCGTAAATACAAACGAAATGAGAGACGAAGATCAAATGAAGCGAGTAGTGCAAGAACATCGAGTACAGACACAAGCTGGAAACGTGCTGCAATGGCGGTGGGCTTGGCGGCATTATATCGCGAAGCTGTCGCTGATCGGGAAGCTGTTGCTGACGATGGTGGTCATTATGACGATAATGATGATGATGATGATGATGATGATGATGATGATGGTTAATACCACTGAGAGCGAGCGGCGGCGATGGCGACCGCTGCATCGAGTCCTGCAACGAGAACTCGACATCCTGAAGCTCTTTCAGGCACAGCCACTCGCCGTCCACCGACACGCGGAAGTTGCACAGGTATATCGTATCCTGAGCGCCAGCCATGTCTTCTTCAAGCATGACCCCACCGTGATGCACACCGTGGTCACCCGGTGGCCTGATCTTCAGACCGTTTTTGGATTCTTGCCGCATAGAAGATCGTTCGTAGCAATGGATTACTTCACGTCAATCCGTGGTTCTATTTTCTCACTTCAACCGGGCCTCCCTCTTCTTTATCGATCCTCCCACTGAATATCCCTTGGACCAATGTACGACGTTTACAGTTCCTTCTCTCCTTTCGTTCTAATTCCCCAAAATCTTCACTTGAGGGCCTTCCCGCAGATATCTCGACTCAATCAGACCTGTTTTTTTTTTTCTTTCTCTTTCGATACGAAGATCTTCTTACTTTCTGACGATGTCGAGAGGTTCCTCTTCGACGATTTCAATCAGCTGATGCGTTTCACTAATGCGATTTGCTTGGTTCGTTGAATCGATTTTCTGCGTATTTTCTCCTTTACTTTACTCTTCTACTCGATCCTTTTTACAGCAACGGCGAGCTTTTCCTTTCTTTCTTTTCGTTTAAATAGATTTGGATTTGACGACGTTGTTTGACGACGTTGCAGTTAGTTCGTGAAACGGAGATAAACGAAATATAGACACTGCGGTAAAAGCAACGAAAAGAAACCTTGAAGCTGAAGCGGAAAAACGATCGTTCGCACACGGTTATCGTGCTACATCGTAGCTGAAACGTTACGGTGGTTGCTTCCTTAGGAGCTCGACATCGCTCAGACCGATTCACTGTCGAGGGGAACCGCGTATGACCGCGTATGACGTGCGCTCGCGGAAATTTTTACGACGGGAATATGGCGACTCGCCGGCGAAAAGTAATATTGATTCTCCCGCCGACCTTACCTCCACCTACGATAATCAATACCAGTGCTCGGGCAGCTAGACTGCATAGTGCTGCCATCTGTCGCGGCTCGATCGATAGAACAGAGAACAAGATCGATAAGATCCTCGATCATCAATTTCATCGTAACGTGATTTAAAGGAAATAATTCTTTTTTTTAGGGGGGGGGGGGAGTTACTTAAAGCGCTACGTTAGATCACGAAGTTTCATTTTTATTTACTTTTAATAAACGGAGTTCTATTTCTACGATGTTCGTTGGATGTTCATGCATTGGACAATGTTTCGAAACGGTGTTTTGTATTTTATTTCATTTCTAACTATTTACACATTTACGTCCGAACGTGTAAACGAACGAAAAGAAATTAAAATCAGCTTAACGTTTACCTTCATGCGCAGTATTTCGTTAAAAAATCGAAAAACGAGAAATGAAACGTGTCGATTTGACTTTGTCAATTATAATCTACTGCTGCTTCACTTGCTCGTCCAAGTTCTAAACTATATTGAACCAGGCGCGTCTATAATCTCATTTTCTATTAATTCAAGATTTCTCATTTTCAGGTGATTCAAGCCTGAATTATAATCGGTCGATCTAAATCATGGTATGTAATTCGCTTCAAGGTAAACGACCTGCCGGGTCGTCGAGTTGGTGTCGGGCATGTAACACGTGTAACATTGCCATAGACGATCACGTGACCGCGTGATCAACTAGCAAAGTAGGCGTTTCGCGATAAAGGAACAGCGGGTCCAGCGTGTGCGCATCGCAGGACGTTCGATCACGCGCACCTCGCATCGACGTCGGGGCTACGTCTCGTGGCTTTGAAACGCGCGCCGAAAACGGATCGACAAACATGCACCTATCGTAGCTGTGTACTTACGTCTGGGTAACCACCAAGCGTCCAATTTTCTAGGCCTCGAGACTACGAGATCCGGCCACTTGTCCTCCCTTATCGAGTAAGCTGACGGCGATCGCGATACACTTTTCTCATTCTCTTCGGACACTAAGCTACCGGTTAACGATTTCTCGGACGGAGATATTGGCAAACCTTCACTACTCTCCGCGGCCATGTTTACGTTTTCACTGTACGCTCGCGCGCGCGCGCGCGCTTGCCAACCAGTGGCTGCCTACGTTCATGCGTTCTCGCGTTCGCCCACTCTCAGCTAGCGATGGCTACGACCCTCTTCTGATCGTGAGTTGTTCTACAACTTCGAGCAAGCTTGGTGCAAATGATCGAGGTGGACGATCGATTTCCACCAGTGGATCAAACTGGAGGGAACGTTCAAAACCTTTCGATTCTTTCAAAACTCATCACAAATGTTCGAAAACTTCTCAATTTTCTGATGAGATAATTTCGTCTTGTTTACCGCAAAAGCGTCATTTATCGATACACGTCCTTCCAATCTATGGATCACAGAGTGTCTTCTAAAAGACAGTTGATTTTTTTTCTAAAACAATTTGCTAGAAATTGAATAACAAGTTGAAATTATATTCTAGAATGTGTGTTTTAATACATTTTTTTTCTGTTTTCTTTTATCGTATTAAACGCGCATTTTTTATAAAAATACGAGGAAAGATAATGGATTCGATAATGGATTCTATATGTAAGGGAAACGTTGATATAAAAAATATAAATTATGAAGATTGAAAAGGATATCAGATTCATTTTAATTTATATTATATCAGTATAATATGTATTACAATTACATTATTTATCGTATATTTATAATCCTCTAACATCTTTCAAATCACACGGAGTACTTGTTTAAACTAAATTTAAAAATTAAGGAATTTTAGTATCCCATGAATTGATCCCATCACTACCGAACAAGATACATTTGCTTTCGTCATAGAATCCGTTTCAATGATGGGAAACATTACATGTTGATTCTTAATGATCGGATAAAGTCCATTAGACGAGATTTATCGAGATTGTGCTTGTTCAGCGGGAAATATAAATTGTCTTGATTTTACATCGAATTAAACAAAAATGACCATTGACCAATATTACTTGTCAGTGTAATTAATTACAATTTATTATCGTAACAGTGTTATTACTTGTACAAATAATAGTAGTGTTATTATTTGAGAGTAATGGATGCGACTACCCATGCATTGTAATTCGCTGTAAATCGATATTGTTATAAATAAATTATGGTATATTTTGCTGATACAATATATTCATGTTGGAATATCAGTGTATAAAAATTAAATAGAATTTGTATAATTGTCTACCTATATATTTTATAGTTATGAATGTTATTTGCAATTATTTCCAAGTAATGCAAAATAGTAATCTCGTACTGTAATTTCCTGTCGAAGAAACGAAAGAAAATTGCCATCCTCACACGTTCAATTCCCGCTTTCGAAAACGAATTGTAATGCCGTGTATGTCTCTACTGAACACGTACAATAAAACGTTAACACGTGTGTTGCAAAGATAACAGTACATCTTCCACGCCAACCTGTACATCTTCTTCTTGTGACGTACATTATTATACGCAATATAACTTCATTCCCTCGCGCGTACACTAAATACGTCCCAAAAAAAATAAATGTGCGATTAAGAAACTGGTCCATGAAATATCTCGATAAATCATCACTTTAATTGACCAGATTATATTTCAAGTTTTCAATGAATTTCGTACAACTAATACACTTGATTCAAGTAGTTTAGTGCAAACAGGTTAAATATATAGTTTAAGGTAAATTAAACCTAAATCTGTAGGTTAAGCAAATCAAATCGAGTATTTTTGTATGCACATTAAATTTATATTAATAGTTTAATATATTTCAAATAATAAGATATAATAAACTGAAGATTGAATAGATTGATTTTATGTTGTACATTAGCTCGAGCAAGGTACTCACTGGTTAAAGAGTACATAGCTTGCATCTTCATCGTGCATGAACTATTTTATATTAGATAATACAGGATAAGTTGAATAATCGGACTTGAGACGTCAAGCTTGCTTGAAGCAGTAATTT